TCAACTTCAATAGGCTTTTGAGGAACAGAAAGAGGCCCAGCCTTAGAGGCTTTCTTCTTTATATTTCGGCAGGGTTGGGATTGGCCAGGGGATATCATATTTCACTGCACTGACTTTAATAAGATAAGATGTTGGCTAATATGATAACGCATGAGATGAGATTTAGGTGATCTCAGGGGCCTGGGGCAGGGGGAATGCAATCAGTCACTGAAGTGATAGTCTAATTATGTAAGAATGGGACCAGCTGAGGGGGTGCAAATACCTTCCCTGAAGCAGTGAACTTAGAAATTTCATGCCGTTCTCTTTCAATTTCTAGACTTTTTTTATGAAATTAAATATACTATGTTATGAATCTTCTAAACCCAGCTCATCTCTTCGGAACAGATAAAGGGGATAGAACCTGGTTTCACAGCTGGAAGGGAAAGCCAGGTAAGGTTACTGAGCAATGGTTGTCACCTACTTATACCACAGGTGGATATGGTAAGATGGAGTCAGATATAGCTGAGTTTGAATCCCAACTAGGCCACCTTTGGGTTGGGTAGTGTTTAACAAGTTTCTTTGCCTCTCTGCAAATAAGTTTCCACATGTGTACAGAGTCTAATAATTGCAGAGCTATCACCCACATAAATTAACAGACCCCTCATTTTTTTTTTGGATACAACATTTATTTCTACAAGTCCCACACGCTCTCCCTGGCCAGCATCAAATGCAAGCTGCCATGTTCTCCACAGGAGCATCTTGGAGATGCCTTCCAGCTATTGCGAACCCCAACGGCAAGATAGCACCAGTGCCAGTAAGACAGCCCCCAAGATGATTCAAAGTTCTGGGGTAATTTATTATACACGAGTTTATAATGAATACATATTTTATTATGAAGAGTGAGGTGCTTCTGTAACAGAAACCTAAAACGTTGAAGTGGTTTTGGAACTGGGCAGTGGGAGAAGCTGGAAGGACTTGGAAGAGAGTGTTAGTGAAAGCCTGAAAAGTCTTGAAGAAACTGTGAGGACAATCCTGATGGCTTTTGAGAAAGCTGTAGATGAAGGGGTAAGGGGAACTAAAGAAAATGCTATTGCAAACAGGAAGAAATGGGTCCCTGTAATGTAGGAGCAGGAAGTTTAGCAACACTGTCACCTGTAGGAATGTGGAAGGTAGAAAATGTGTCTAATTAATTGAATGTTCTAGCTAAGTACATTTCCAGGTAGAGTGTTGAAGGTGCTGACCGATGTCTTCTTCCTTATCACAGCAAAATGTGAGAAGAAAGAGAAAATCTAGAGAAGGACTAAAAAGAAAAATCCAGAACTTGCTAGACTTGAAAATTCTCATCTTCTCTAGATGAGGAATAATGCTAAAATGAAGAAATGGTTTCCAGTCAAAAATAAACTCTAGGATCCTGAAAGAAGCACCTAGTCAAATGATGAAGCTGAGAATGTAGCTATAAAACCCTTTGTTCAGACCTTACAAAGACCTACAGCAGTGATTCAGAGGATCATTCAGACAAACAACAGGAATTCAAAGAAGCTGATGTGTAGTGCCTTAGCAGCTTCTGCAGAGGGACTCTTCAGAGTAGAGAAGCACTTATCCCAGAGAGATCTGTGGGTATGGCTTCTGAGCAATGGAGTGCTGGCTCAATTACAGTCATAGGAGACTCACAAAATTTTAAAAGAATTGTATTGGGAGAAACACTGCTAGTGTGGACTAAAGGGGACAGAGACAGTACAAAATGAAAAGGAGCCTTTCAACCCCCTAAATTCTACTAGCAGGAAGTGGACTGATAAATTACATAGCTGTAAACATGGGCTACTTTTCACAGAAAAGGAAGGATGACTCAGAGAGTGGAATCAAGAGCCCAAAGGGTAAAATCAAAAGCCATGGAGAACCATTTCCTGGCATGAGTAGGACTGAGCCCTAATCAAGGAATTTCTAACCTGTCCAACTGGATTTCAGGTTTACTATGACCAGTGACTCCTGTGTGTCTCCTATCTTTTCTCCTTTTTGAACAGAAGCGTCTGTACCAGTTATCCTAAGCCTGCCCCACCATCGTAAGTTGGATGCAGGAACATAATTATTCAGATGAAGAGGAACTATACTTTAGGAGCTCCATTTAAGACACAAGAAGCTTCATCTACAGCTTCACCTGATTTAAATAATAAAATTCTGGACTTTGAGCTGATGATGTAATGGGTTGAGATTTTAGGGGATCTTGGGAGGAAATAAACATATACTGCATTTGAGATGTGAATCATTAGAGACCAAAGGGCAGACTATGGTAGCCAGCATCAAAGATGGTTCTGAAGATCCCTGCCTCTTGATGTTCATGCCCTTGTGTAGTATCCTCCCACAATGAATAGGGCTGATCTCTGTAACTAATAGACTATGTTGGAACTGATGATGTGTGACTTCTGAGCTTAGGCCATAAAAGACATTGTATCTTCTACCTTGCCCTCTCTTGGATCATCACTAGCTTTGGGAGAATTCAACTGCCGAGTCATGAGGACGCTCAAGCAGCCCAAGAGAAAGTGGTGAGGATTCCTGCCAATAGCCATGTAAGTGAGCCATCTTGAAAGCAAATCTTACTTTTCTAGTTAAGCCTTTAGGTGACTATAGCCCCAGGTAACATCTTCACTGAAATCGCTTAAGAGATCCGGAGTTAGACCACCTACCTAAGCCACTCCCATATTCCTGGCTCACAGAAATTGTGTGAGATAATAAATGTTTATTGCTCTAAGCTGCTACTTTTTGAGGTAATTTTTTATGCAATAATCGATTAATATAACAAAGTTTCTATCTCTGGATGCTCCCAAAGATTCCTGGGGAATCATACCATTCTGGTTTCTGTGCAGAGGGGTACAGAAGGTCTGTCTGAGTCTGCCATACCTCAATGACAGAATTTTATGAAGTCCCTTTGGAACAGTTCCATCAACTTCTGCCTCTAAGATCATCTTACCATAGAGGATTCAAAGAAAGATTGTGAAGTGTTAGATACTGAACAGCACAGTACGATCTTTTCACTTTCTGTCAGATAAAACTAAGAACAAACAACAACAACAATATGACAACAAAAAGACATCTGTCCCTCCCCACCAAACACCCTGGACATAAAAATCTTCTTTAAGACATTAAAAAATTGTTTTCATTGAAAAAATATTTTCTAAATGTGATAACATTATGTTCATATCACCTGTTATTTCCTTTTAAGCATGGGGTGGTGGAAATAACCAAGCAAGAAACACTCACTATTCACTAGGTATATTAATGTTGATATTTGAGTTGACATTTGTTGAAATTTTTTTTCCCAGAATGGTGCATCAATCCCTGTTTCAAATGCAGATATAGAAATAATTCCCAAAGAAATGAACTGGAGAAAATAGAAATGTATATGGAATTGGAACAAAACAAACCTTCTGATTCCACCCCACCCCCCGCCCAACAGCCCAACATTCTACAGAATTGTTCTGAGGTTAAAAAAACAAAAGATTTCAAAAACATAAATCTTTGACAAAAGCCTCACACGGATTAAGCATACATTATATATGTGGAGACAATGAAAATTATTTCAAATGATTTTTGTCCCACCCCATGCCCTAGCATTTTTGGGAAAATCATAGGGAAATGCTAGCTCAAAATTACCTAAGGGAAATCAGTTGAAAACAGATACTACTCCATTCCCCTCCATCTGCTCAACCACACCTCAGCCTCTCCCTGGACTAGATCAAAATGTCCTTTTCCTCTCCTAAATACAAAACAAAAGCTCCTAAATACAAACACAAAAGATATGGGGTGGATTTAGGGGTTGCTTATACTACCAGCAGCCAGCCAAAAATGCCCAATGTGTTAAAAATTAAGTTTAGGGGCGCCTGGCTGGCTCAGTGATGGAGCCTGCAACTCTTGATCTCAGGGTGGTGAGTTTGAGCCCAACGCTGGGTGTAGAAATTACTTAAATAAATACATCTTTTAAAAAATGTTTAAAACTTCCTTCAAAGTGTCATTATATGCACTAAATATAATTTGTGCCAATAATAATAGTTAAAATCTAGTGAATACTTCCAGAAGACAGGCACCTTTACATTTCATCCACAAAGGAGCCCCATCAGGTAGATATTATTATTTCCATTTTACATATCTTTTTAAAAAGTGGAAAACAGAATGATCAATTAACGTCTCCATGGTCACAAAGCCAATTAAGTTGTAGTACCAGGATTTGGGAGCCCTTAACAGTGGATCTTCCAAAACCAGCTTTTAAAATACCACAAAAAGGTCTGGCCTGATTCTGGGCACTTCGGTATTGGTTAATAAATAACAGTCCCTTTCATTTCTTTCGGAACCCAATCTGGATCTAGGTGGTCTCTTTACATAAAGGAAAATGGACAAATCCTCTCTCCCCACCTACCTCACCTGACATCTCAGAGGAACCCAAGGCAAGCACTCAGAAAAAGGCACAGAGGTTGCCACCCTAGAGATTCCAAGCCCCTAAGAAGCAGGAATGCAAACAGACTTTGCAAACAGACAAAGTGTAGTATTGCTTTGGATCGAAAATGTCTGTTTGCAGAGCCTGACTCTGAAATTCCCTGAGCCTGGGAGAACAAACACAACCCTTCCCGGGGCCCTCTGAAAATCCCAAGCGATCAGGTTCAGTCTGGTAAAAAAAAAACAAAAAACAAAAAACACTCAGTCCTGGCACCCTGCAGAACACCTGGCGGTGGGGACTGGGATGGGCGGCGACAAACTGGAAGGACCGAGACTGAAATGCACACGTACACCTGCCTAGCGGCCTTGAAAAGTCAGGTTGACACCCCCAGGGCCGTGGGAGAATTTGACCCCGCCTCCGGAGCGAGCGGGAGACCTCCTCCATCCTCCCCCTCCTTCCGGGGCGGCGGAGCGCCCCCTTCCCCCCACTCCCTCTCCCCCCCTCCCCCCGGGGAACGCGGAAAAGGGCCCTTGCCACTTTAAATGACTCAGGAAGTGAAAAGAGGCCGCTGACAGGGAAAGGGAAAGCGGAACCGGGGCGGCAGGGCCAGCGGCGCGGCGATCTCGCCGGGGGCAGCGCGAAGCAGGGCGGCGCGCGGCGCGGGGGCCGACGGGGGCGCGGGGCCGCCGCGCCGGAAGTGCCCGCGCCGCCGGAGGAAGCGCAGCGGGCGCCGAGCGGCCGAGCGGGCGGGAAGGCCCCTGGCTCCTCGGCCGGGCAGGGGCTGGCGGGAGCAGGCGGGAGCAGGCGGCAGCGGCGCCGCGGCCCCAAGCCTGCCTTGAGACCCGGCGCGGCCAGTACCCGGGACGGGACCCGGGCGGGGAGGAAGTAGGGAGGAGGCCGCGCCGAAGCCAGGCGGCGAGCTCCGAGGCCCAGCGGCCTGGGCCGCGTCACCGCAGCCACATGGCCTCCGGAGTGGGCGCGGCCTTCGAGGAGCTGCCGCACGACGGCACGTGTGACGAGTGCGAGCCGGACGAGGCTCCGGGGGCCGAGGAGGTGTGCCGAGAGTGCGCCTTCTGCTACTGCCACCGCCACGCCGAGGCGCACAGGCAGAAGTTCCCCAGCCACCACCTGGCCCAGTACGTCCACGGCGCCGCCCAGGCCTGGACCGCCGGAGCCCCGGGGCAGGGCGACGCCAAGGAAGAAGCCGAGGCCAAGGTGGAGAATGAGCGGGACCTAGAGAGCGAGGTGGGGGAGGAGAGCGAGTCCGAGGAAGACAGTGAATCCGAAGAAGAGAGCGAGACGGAGGAAGAGAGCGAGGATGAGAGCGAGGATGAGAGTGAAGAGGACAGTGAGGAAGAAATGGAGGATGAGCAAGAGAGCGAAGCAGAGGAAGACAACCAAGAAGGAGAATCCGAGGCTGAGGGAGAAACGGAGGCAGAAAGTGAATTTGACCCAGAAATAGAAATGGAAGCGGAGAGAGTGGCCAAGAGGAAGTGTCCGGACCATGGGCTCGATTTGAGCACCTATTGCCAGGAAGATAAGCAACTCATCTGTGTCCTGTGCCCTGTCATTGGGACTCACCAGGGCCACCAGCTCTCCACCCTAGACGAAGCCTTCGAAGAACTAAGAGTAAGTATTGGGCATTCAGAGCATAGGCCTGGAGGTCTGTACACCTGGGTTTCAACTCAGGTGGCCTAGTTGTGGCCACATTCGCCTTCACCATGACCTTAAAAGTCTAGCCTGTTCAACTTAGTGAGGGCAGTGCTTATACCCTCTTTTTGGTTGAACTTTGAGAATCAGTTGAAAGTTCTGGACTCTGACCCGATGGGAAATATATGTACACGTGAAACCTAGTGTACAGCTTCTGGAAAACTGCAAGCCTCTGGTGTCTGGATCCCAGTTAAAGCATTCATTGGGAGTTTTGACCCCATTTAAGCCAATTGCCGCAGCACCGCCATCGTTGAGACTAGTGCCTTGACTTGGTAAGGCAGTCTCTTTGCGTACTTGAGAATATGGGAAACCGTGCTTCAGCCAGATGAACCCAAGCAGGTGGTTCCTCTGTAGTGAAGAGACCCCCTGACAAGCGGCGGTTTCTGTGCTAAGGTCATATGTGCCGCCAATTTCATTCAGGTTCTTCATGTGTGACAGTTATTTGGAAAGGAGGATGAGAGGTTGGAAACAAACTCGGAATGGGAGTTCCTGTGTCCTCCATCTCTGGCAGGAGGGCAGGACCTTTATCTATCTTGGACCTTGCTGATCCCCTAGAACAGTGTTTGGGAAGTCGTAGACATTAATTAATCTTTTTTGGGCCAACAAATTTTTACATGATTTGCCTTTTACTTATATTGTGGATCTTTACAGTCAGAGAAATTGCTGGAGTTAACCAGGGAGGAAAGTTTGAGCAGAGTGACCAGTTCATTAGTGAATGTTGTCATGTTATGACGATTTTTGTTTCCCTAAGTAACCTTGCAATTCCTGGCACTGGGATAACAAATACTTTGTTAATGAAAATTTCCTGTGTTGAGATTTTCCTTTTTTTTTTTATTGTAAAATACACAAAGTATATAAAAACGTTTGCACAGTCTAACAAAAAATTATAAAGCAAATTCTGATGTACCCTCTACCCAGATTAAGACAAAGAGTATTAGTAGCAATATTGAAGACCTATGCCCTTTCCAATTATAACCATTTCCCTTCCCTATAGGTAACCATTTTCTGGACTTCTGTGGTGATATTTCCTTGCTTATCTTTATAGTTTATCACATATATATGCATTCCTAAACTTACTTGAGCTTGACACAGTTGATGTCATATTGTGCATTCTTTTGGGTTTTGCTTCATTTTTTTAGCATTGTGTTTGTGAGATTCATCCAGTGGAGCTGTGGTTTGTTCATTTTCATTGTTGTGTAGAATTCCATTTAAGACTATGCCACAAGTTATCTCTTCTATCAGTGATGAACATTCGATTTCCAGATTCTGAGGTTTCCGCTTATTATAAACAATGTTGGTATAGACATTCTTGTTCATGTCTCCTGGTGAACATCTACATATATTTAAATGGAATGTAACCCTAGGATGAGATTGTTGGGTCACAGACTGTGCATATCTTAAATAGCACCAGATTTTGCCAACTATTTTCCAAAGTGGTTGTACCAGTTTGCATTGCCTTGAAGAGTGTATGAGAGTTCCTGTTATTCTGTATCATCACCAGCACTTGCTATTAGAGAATTTAAAATTTTTTGTCAATTTTGTGGATATGTATGGTATCTTCTTGTGGTTTAAATTTGCATTCCTCTAGTTACTAAGGACTTTGTGTATCTTTTATCTCTCTCCTTTTGTGAAGTGCCCCATTGAGGTTTTTTTGTTCATTTTTCTGTTAGGTTGTCTTTTTCTCATCAATTTATAGAAATGTATTCGGACTTCTTTGTTGTTTCTGTGGGTTGCAGATATCTTCTAGTCTGTTTTTTAAAACTGTGCCTTGAATAGAAGCTCTTCATTTTAATATAATAGAATTTATCAATAATTGCCTCTATTGTTAGTGCTTTTTGTGTCTTGTTCCACTTAGGATTGCTTTTCCCATAGTGGAAATAGGGGCTCAATTTCATTTTTTCCTCTTGCAGGTAGCCAGTTGCTCTAGCAGCATTTATTGAAAAGCCTGTCTTTTCTACATGGATCTGCTGTGCCACCTGTCCATATGCCTGTGAATATGTTTCTTGGGTCTTCTGTTCTCTACCATTGACCTGTTAGCGTATCTCTGTGTGAAAAACATGTTTTCTTAGTTACCATAGCTTTGTAACATGTCTTAGTATCTGGTAGAGCAAGTTCTTCCACTTTGTTCTTCTAGAAAGTCTTGGCCTTTTACATTTCTTAGAAGCATACTATAAAGTTGTGTTAAGAAAGCCTGCAGAACGTTTTTCGTATTGTATTGAGTTTATAAACCAATATATAGAGAATTAACAGCATTCCAAGATAAAGTCTTCTCATATATTTAGGTCTAAATTGCCTCATGATAAAGTTTTATAATTTTTTTCTGAAAAATCTTGTATATCATTTTGACATTTATTGCTGGATACTTAAAATTCTACAGTATTGTACAAAATTTTAAAATTTTTGTTTTCTAATTGTTTGTATATAGGAATATGATTAACTTTTATGTATTGATTTTTATGTTAAGATGTCTGCTAAATTCTCATAAATATTCTAATAATTAATGTGTAGATTAATTCTAAGTACATGACCATATTATCTGCAGAGAGGGACAGTTTTTGTTTCTTTCCAGTCCTTATATGTGTTGTTTTTTTTCTTGCCCTAAGACTTTAGTTAGGACCTCCAATATAATATTGAATAGAAGTGATAGTGGGTATTCTGGTCTTGTTCTAATTGATGAATAATTTACATTTCACACATAAGTGTGATAGTAGTTTGGTTTTTTTCACAGATATATTTCATCAGATTAGGAAAATTCCCTTTTAATCCTAGCTTAAGAGTTTTTCTTTTTTTTAGATATTTTTTATTTATTTATTTGACAGAGAGATAGAGAGCGCAAGTAGGCAGAGCGGCAGGCAGAGGGAAAGGGAGAAGCAGGCTGTCCGCTGAGCAGGGAGCCCAATGCGGGGCTCGATCCCAGGACCCCAGGATCATGACCTGAGCCGAAGGCAGCCGCTTAACTGACTGAGCCGCCCAGGCGCCCCAAGAGTTTTTCTTAATATTCAGTGGCTACTGAATTTTGTCAGGTGGTTTTCCTGCATCTATTGGGGTGTTCATCTGATTTTACTAGGTTAATGTGGTAAGTTATGTTAATTGATTTTTTAAATTTAAAAATCAGTAATATGTTCACATGCCTCAAAAATCTCTAGTTCACCTTTGTCCTTTTCACCTGGTTTCTTCCCCAGCAACTATTGGTGACCACTTTTCTTAGTTTTTTGCACATCTTTCAAATGTTTCTTCTTCTATTTGTACACAGAAAGATGGGTGTGCATAAATATGGTCTTATTTTCATCCCTTCATGTCATTGTATTTTACAATTAAAGCAGCTTTGCATTTCTGGGATAAATGCAACTTGGTCATGGTGAAGTATCTTCATGTTTTTAAATTTGGTTTATTAATAATTTAGGCTTTTTTTCATTTGTATTTATGGGAGAAATTAGCTTGTAAATTTTCTTCTTTGTACTGGGATTCTGCTATCCAGGTTATGTTGGCTTCATAGTATGAGTCACAGTGTATTGCTTCTCACATAGTTTCGCTCTTTTAATGCTCTGGAAGTGTTTGCTTAAGATTGGTATGTTTCTTCCTAGAATGATTGGTAGAACTGACCATGGAAGCTGTCTGGACCTGAAAAGAGAAAGAGAGAATTTTGTTACTTTGTTTTCTATTTTTGATTATGAATTCAATTTCTTTAATGGTCATAGGTCTGTCCAAGTTGTCTATTTTTCCTTAGGTCAGTTTTGATAAGTTACATTTTCCCAGAAGTTTGTCCATTTTGTTTAACTTTTCAAACGTACTAGTATAAATTTGTGAATCATATCCTCTATCTTTCTTCATACTGTAGCTATCCTCTTTATTCGTGTGGGAACAGTAAGCATGTTGGTCATAATCTGTTTTTGGTAATTCCAGTATGTGGAGACTTTATAGATCTCTTCTGCTGTTGTTTTTGATGGTATTTTTCATGTTTCTTTATTTCCTTTTGTGTTATGTTTGCACAACTCTTCATTGCCTTTGAAAATTATTTGTGGGGATTTCCTAAGCCTTGGCATGAAGCTGTATTCTTCGAAAGAGGATTGACTTTGCTTGTGCTAAGGCCTGAGAGTACAATTTGTTTAGAACCCCTTTAAACTAAATGAATTGCTTGAGATTTCTTGGATCAGATTTTCAGGAGGTACCTGCCTAAGTTTACAACTTCTTAAAGATTTCATTTTCATCCAGCCCTGCAGCTCCTCCCCTCCTTCTGTTCAGCTCCAAGGCAACACTCCCACAGTCCCCTTCAGAGGGTGAGATAGTGGCAAGTTTAGTTTGTTTTTACTCTAGGATTTTACTCTTTGGCAGGGGTGAGAGCATCCGAAGTCTGTGTGGAAAGGGCTCTTTTAAATGTCTCACCCTGGGGCACCTGGCCAGCTCAGTTGGTAGAATATCTGACTCTTTTATTTATTTATTTGACAGAGAGAGAGAGCGAGAGCAGGAACACAAGCAGGGGGGCGAGGGGGGAGAAGCAGGCTTCCCGCGGGGCAGGGAGCCTGATGCGGGTCTCGATCCCAGGACCCTGGGATCATGACCTGAGCCGAAGGCAGACGCTTAACGACTGAGCCACCCAGGCGCCCCACATCTGACTCTTAAGGTTGTGAGTTTGAGCCCTACATTGGGTGTAGACATTACTTAAAAGACAAATTAAAAAACAGTAAGTGTCTCACTCTGAGCATGCCCCAGCTTTGCTTTCTCTTACCTTCTCCTCTTCCACCTCACTTTGTAACCCCTATCAAATGCACAGCCCAATTTCTTGCAGATCAGTAAATGTCCTCAGATCGAGAGCCGCTTCCCATACTCTTTTTTTTTTTATTTATTTTGAGAGAGAGCACAAGTGAGAGAGCACAAGAAGGGGGAGCAGCAGAGGGAGAGGGAGAAGCAGACTCCCCACT